TAAATCTTACCCTCCCCTCCTCGCTCTGAATTCAAAATATTGACATTAACCAACTAATTAACTTTGAGAGACCTTATTCATGTTAAAAAAAAACAAAATTTACAGTGTGTCATGTCAGCTTTTGAGGTCCAGAAATGGAAAAAAATAAAATTATTCGTGATCGTACCAAATACATGACCAAATAGAATCGTCTAAAGCTACTGGATAAGTCAAGCTTCAGCCCTAATTATATAAAAAAAATTGTCAATTTATTAATGATAAATAGTTTAAATATTATATTTGAGTTAAAATTGGGCAACTTTTTCGCCTTCAAGTGTAAATTTTAATTAATTTAAGGATTAGAACCACCTAAAATTTTTATTTAATTGTTTAACCGTGTTAACCGTTTAACGCTAATTCAAAATAAATTGGTCAATAATTCGACCCGGAACTATTAAACGCTTTCAATCCTTAACTTAATTACTAAAGATAACTCATATACAGGGCAATCTCTAACATTCCGAACCGGAAATTTAAAATTTTTACTAATGAAGTCATAGCGCATTCATCAAATAAAAATACTCAACAGATAATTTTGTCGGCCAACTCCGATTAATTCCGGTCCGGAATTAAATAAGTACTGTGGTACGTATGTGCGTATTATAATTAGCGTTACCGGGTTTTTATTTGTTTTTATTTTATATAGCGATAGGTTATCATTAAAAAAGAACACCACGGTTTAATGCTTTTGACATGTCAACTTTACTAATAATAATTTATGTAACATAATTTGACAGTTCGTAAAATTCGTTAAGCTAGAGAAAAACAGTATACGTATTGATTTTTTAAAAGACTGTGTTTACATGATATTATTAATTATATTAAGTTTATTAACATATTAAATATATGCATATGGTTATCAGTGCTAAAAAAAAATTTATATTAATCTTTTAATAAAATTTTTCATACGTATTTTGCGAAACATATACTTAGTAAATCAAATTCCGAAAAATAAGACAAAGGAAAATATATGTATTACTAACACTTAATTACGTACGTACGTATGTATGTACAGTACGTACGATGTGAGTCGTACATTTTTTGATGACCCAAAACTTTTTATCTCGTCAGTTTTCTAATTTTTAATTTACATCAGAAAATAATACAAAATATATTATATGTAGAATTAAATTTTAAACATATTTATTTAAGAGCTAAAAATAAGTTATCCTAATAAAATTTTCGATATTGATTTTTTTTTTCGATTTTGATCCAAACGGAAATAAGATTTAAGGTTACATCATGATATCATCTCACGCATGACAATTTGTTTTTGTTACTGGCACTTTTGGAAAATTAACATCCGGTGTGATTTTTATAATTATAGACATGCATGGTGCCCATCTCTATTACTATCCATAAAATTTTGTTAATTTTGTTTTTATAATAACGATTTGTTTAATATATAGCCCTGCTTTGTTAATTAAACAAAGTAAAAAGTAAACGGAACAAGCCAAAAAATCTATAAAAAAGACTCAAATTTACTAACTTTAACATTAGCAAAATTTTCTTCGAATTTGGTATGTAAATACTTGTTTTATTTTTTGAATTTGTTTAGCATTCATCAGAAGTGAAATTCAAAACTATATGTTTTTATTATTAGATAAACTAGAGAAGTTTTGCGCCATAAGTTCAAATTAAGTTTTAAAATAAGACATACTCTTACGGTCAAACCAAAAAAAAAACTAAGAACATTAAAATTTATTCGTTTTTGATTCGTTACCTTATTGGATTTGCTGTTGATTAGTAAAACAAAAACGGTACTATCGGATTTACCAAACAAAAACGTTAACTATCAACAATGCCAGTATTCGGTCCTGTTAAAAATAATAATAACACGGTCCTAACTGCCATTATATTTGATGGTGGAGATATTATCCCGAGACCTTTACCTCCCCAAGGTGAATTCGATATCAATGGCGGAGGATCGTTTAACCTACGAATATGAATTTTAGATCAAGATGATACGCTTTCATCTTTTTTAATTAATAAATCGCAAACACAAACAACATTCGAAATATTATTTTTGTTTTTTATTTAATATCTGATATTTAATATCCCAAAGTGTTTAAAATGTATATATGTTGTAAGTGGGAACAGAATTCGAATCCGCTTAAATTCTGTTCTCATTTGCAACATATATCATTAAATTCGATGAATCTCATTTTGCCGACAATTAAGGTTGACCCAATTCATAACTAGGGTTAAAATTAGCGTTGGTTAAAGTCGGTAAAATGAAACAGAGTGAATCTAATTAGATCACATACGGACATACGAACTTATATATAAGCGATGTTGTACATTTTGATTGTCCCAAGATTTTTTTAGGACGTCCAAACTGATCTATCAATATTCAATTTTTAACTTATAAAGCTACAATCAGGCCTTTCTAAAATGTAACACCTCTTTAAATGCAATAGCCTTAAACTCTGGCACAAATCGCGTTCATATAATAGGACCTTTATTAAAACATTGCTTTATTTTAGAAATTATTTAATATTCGCCGGGGGTGAAATTCACATCTTTTAATTATTATTATATTATTTATAGAAATCTTACCACAAGCTTTAAAAAGTTAAAATTGAACTTTAGAGTTAGAATTTAAGGCTTAAATTAAAATAGAGGTTGGGATTTTTTAGGGTGAACATCTTACTTTGTATATCAAATATCGGTTATCAAAGACGTTTTTGAGAAACAACATACCCGGTGAATTTCACCTCTAGTAAACGTTAAAATCATTTTTTAATAAATTAATTTTTTTTTTAAAAAAAAGCTTCATGATTGATAAATTGTCAAAAATTGTCAAATTTCTTAAAGTTTTATTTCGCAAGGTATATATGATGTATAATGTAATTGACGAAAGAATGATATCATCTCGTGCGAGGAAAAAAAATAGGTATATGCACACAATGTTTAAGTTTAATGTTATTGCATTAGTTATAGCATATTAGATTAAGATAAAGTTTTAACATTTTAAGAATGTTTATATTCCCAATGTGGTGTGCAATTAATTATTAAAACTTAAATATTAAACAATAAAGTTGTCTGCATTGCAGTTATTAATTATATATTTATTAAAAGAAAACTTTATTAATTTTAAAAAATTCTTACTGTGTCATGTCAACTTTAGAAGCCTATAAATGGCATACTGTATTGAACTTAACAGCATTATTCGTAATCGTATCAAATAACTAGAATTATTTAATAAATACAATCGTCTTAAGCTGTCAAATAAGTTCGAGTTTTAATCCTAAATAGAAAAAATTTGTTAATTTATTAACGATTAATAATATAATTATTGTTGAGTTAAAATTCGGTAACCTCTTCTCCTTCAAATGCAATCCTCTGGTTAAACTTAATTAATGTAAAGATTAGAACTGCCAAAATTTTTCTAATTGTTTAACCGTTTAAACGTGTTAACCATTTAATTCAAAATAATTCTGATCCATGATCGACGTAACTCAACTCGGAATTAAACGTTTTCTGTCCTTAAATTAATTGCTAAAGTTATTCATACAGGCAATCTCCAACCTGCATAGTATCGTCATCAACGTAAGTACTGCTTAAAATTCAATCTGAGCACTAACATAAGACACAAAATCGAGAAAAATAACCTTCAAGGTTAAAAATCGCCAAAAATGGATAGACAAGCATTGACTTGTAAAGTTTTCGAAGAAGGCTAAATTACAACATAATTCTAATAGGCAAATTCATCTTTATGAAATGCAGTACCTCAATAAAACTTAACTAACAAAACTTCTTAAAAATATTACAAATAGACTAGTCAAGAAACTATTCAAAATACGTATATTGTCGTAGTAAAAACATTGTGAAAGCAAGAGCTGTTCTCGTCGTAAGAACAATAATACTCTTTTGTACAGTATTTTTGTTATTCTAAATATAATGAATATCGATATACAATTGAATATAACATAATATAATATATATATATATATATTTAATGGAAAGTTATATTTATAACACCCTATTATTAAACTACATATTTACCCTAAATTAAAACTCCGGCTCTAACCCAGGTAAATACAAACATTAATATAACACCAGTGTTATGAATATATTTGGGGGGTTTTTTTTTTAATTTATTCTGTTATTTACAATTTTGAAGCTACATACGTACGTCAATTTTTAATTAATTGACAGAACTTTGAAAGTGCCGTTTAGCAGCAATACTAGGTGTGTCCAAATCTTCAACACTCTGGGCTAGGAATTCATTTTACCCAAAATTGGTTAAAATTTTTTCTAATGATGTCATAAAAGTAAAAATACCTCAAATACTGTTAATTTTGCTATGGTGATAGGACTTGTATCAGCCAATTCCTACCCGGAATTTCTCTGTACGAAAATAATTATAAGACAACCAGTAGTATTATAATTGACATTACTGGTTCAAAGACCTGTTATATTATTTGTTTTTTATCTGATATAGCGATTAGGGATTTCACATTTAACACAAAATGGCTTTCATTAAAAAAAAAACCGGTTTAATGTTGATACGTAACAACTTTTGACATATTAGGTTTCAACAAATTTACTACGTAATAACGATTTGTATAATATTGATACTATTAACTATATATACAGTATATATATACATACTTATGATACACCATGGGACGTTCTCTTATTAACTATATTAAATTTATTTACATATTATTAAATATATATGGTTATAAGTGCTAAAAAAAAAAAAAATTATATTAATCTATTAATAAAGTAGAACTACGTACGATGATGATGTCAAATTTTCCATATTACAAAAAAAAAAAACCAAATGCAGTACTTATTAAGCTTAAATTCCGAATTAATAAAGACAAAGCAGATATAGCATATGATAACAGAGTATTGTATTTTATGGTACGTATCACTACGTACGTAGCATTAATGTAAATACATAGCTGATAGATACATACGTACGTACATACTATATCGTTGTCCATGTTTCATTCCAATTTTTTTATTTGTACTGCTAATATAATATGTAAAATTAGATGTCAAGCTTTTTTATTTAAGAACTGAAATAATTTATCTTAGTAAAATTTTGAGCCATTGATATTTTCTTAAAAAACCTCGGAAATATAGATAAACTATTTGGGACGTCCCAAACCATGTAGCGTTAGTTTCGGCTTATTGCACTACTCGGAAAAATAACAGCATAAAGTTACGTAATCATTGTATGACATTGTAATATACCAGCATGACATAGTGCCGTTGAACTCTGGCGTAGCATACCATTCAGTTTGTTATGACATGGATATCATATTATTTTGTTTGATATATTATTCTGCTTTGTTTAAATTAAAACAAAATAAAAAAGCAAACTTAACAAAGTCAAAAATCTATAAAATGAGCTTGACTTACTACCGTTCACTGTAAGCATAAAAGCTTCGTCCCTATAATCATAAAGGTTTGCTCACTGTAATCTCAACGTTTATTATTATTAGTTAATGATTTGTCTCATATTTTTTCAAATTAAAATTATAATCTAAGATTGAGCGCAAATTGAACAAAGATCAATTCTAAGTCCATTTTAAGAATAACATTCCAGCAAATTTCATTCATGTAAGCATTATAATCACCTTTTTTGGGGATTTTACAAGTTTACTAACGATTATTTAAACTTTTCAGTAAGCAAAACCTTAAACGATATAAACGACTCTATCAATTATGAACAATAACGGTGATTTAACGACTGTCATCTTTGATGGTGACGACTTCACATCCAAACCAGTACTCCCTTCAAGCGAATTCGACATTAACGGTGGGGGTTCGTTTTAAAATCTATAACTTTTAAAATATAAAAAAACCATGATGTATACATCTTATCTATGCAATCTCATACAGTAAATTATAAATTATGCTTTAATAAATTATAAAATATGCTTTAATTATTCGGTTATTTAATGTCCTACATTTTTGATGTGATAAAAACAGTTTAATGTGTACTAGTTCTCAGTTCCGGGTTTTTGTTCTGGGTTTGAAATTTTAAACCCAGTTGGATAGATCCAATTCAGGCTTATTTGTATCCAGATTTGTATTTTTCTAAGAAAATGTAACTCAGGCAAATTTGTTTGCGAAATGGTGCAAGAGATATTAAAAAGGATTTTGCGATCAAAAAAGTTTAACAAAACATCGACTCGCTGTTAAAATCACAGACCCACACAATATTGAAATCATCATCCATTAATATTAAATTATAATTCTATCCATTGTTGAAATTACAAACACACCCACTGTTAAAATCACTAATTTATACATTACTAAAATTGAAAACTCACTGTTAAAATTACAAATTTCCTGTTATTGAAACTATGAACTACTTAATGTCACAATTCTCAACTCATTTACTGCTGAAATTACAAACTTGCCCGTTATTGAAGTTGCTAACTCACTACTAAAACCGTGAACTTACTCTGCTGTTAAATAATGAACTATCCACTATTATAAATCTAAATATAAATCTATTTACTCTTAAATCATGAGCTACTTACTTATCCCGTTGTAAATCTAATTGAAATTACGCACCTACTATCGAAATCATAAACCTGCCTAACATTGATAAACCATTTTCTAATGCTAAATGTAACTTACATCAAAATTTATTTTAGTTAAGTGCATTTAGGGTCCGGAATGGGTAAAGTCGACCGGATAAAATTTCCACCCAAAAAGTTTCGAACATCATGTGACAAATATAAAATTCATGTAACTTAAAAAAAATATAAACAAACTAACAAATAATAACGATAAACAATAAATTATTTGTTTCGAATAACTCAATAACGTAATATTGGCTTTTTCAAAGTGAATTTACTAGTAGAATTGTAAGTACGAATTTTGTATTATAATGTATTGTATTTGTTTCGCGTCATTTTTCAATTTACGTCGATTATTAATTGACGTGTCATTTCCTATTTTCACCGATGATAAATG